TTACTACGGAATTATTTGATTGGTCAAAAATTCACTCCCATGTATTTTGGATCGGGTGACGAGTTGGTGAAACTCATTCTGCGGCGACTTAGATTTCGAACACCATCACTTAGTGATAATTCTTTACAGAAACCTGTAGTTTTTATAAATCTCTCTGTGACATCAGAATAAGATCACCGCTATCTCATCAGGATACGGATAGGAGAGTCGTAACTAACCCATCCTGATATGATACAAATCTCGTCACAACATTTTGGAAATAATATTGTGGCGACGTCGCTGCAATTTCGTTAGAATACCTTGCTGAGACTGTTACGAGCTTTTTATATCGTAGTAGATTGCTAATATGTTATACAGAGCTTTTTATGATATCGTGGTAATATTACAACTAACTCGCCAATGCATCGCACAAAGATCTTAATTATAGATCTGTGTTATCATAACACTCTCACCTAAATGTCGTCATGAGATCTTTGGGATGATTGTTTGCATCATACTATCGCGCAAATATATCAATATCATAATCGTAAAAGGCATTCTTTGAAGATTCAGACATAAATCTGATATAATGGCCAGGACAGAGCCCAATTGAACATCTGTGGGACGAGCTTGAACGACATATTGGACAATAGGACCCACCACCAACGTACTGGCTGAAATTCTTTAAAAAAATCCCAAATACCATATTTCAAAATCTAATTTTAAGCAAAGGTTATGCAACCAAGTATTGCTTCATAACTATGCTTGAATACTATTCTGAACGCATGGGTTACTAAATTTTTGCTGCATTTTTACATAATAAAATTTTATAATTTATTTCTCAACTAAGCAGGATAACAGCGTAAAAATTTTGTATTTGGTTAAGACTTTCAAATGCTTTCGAATGGATATTAATTTGTATGGTGTCGTAACATAACTTTTTTATGTACTCCTTTTTAAACGTTTGGGTTGCGAACATGATTTATCGATTTTTGGTTAGATAAATTCAGGAATAAGCAAACTCAAAATCTTACATATCAATGTGCAACGAAAATTTTGCAGGAATATAGCCTATTACTATAACATGCACAAATACACAAATAATGGCTAAAATTTCATTACGTTTGGATGGTTGACTATAGTGTTATGCGCAATCGACGAAAAATTTAAGGGGTGGTCAGAGACTTTTGAGTGGGCACTGACTGTATGTACTGTAAAGGATAGTAATAGTACGTGTAATAGTAACAAACGGTATACATATTCAATGGATATTGAACAAATTTTATTTAACTCGTTTTTCCATGGAGTTGTAGGAATACCAAGGCGGGCTTCATATATTTTAAGAAATCATCTTCGTTCATACTATCCGGAATTCAAAAGCTATCTCGGCTCTCCATTGTTCTAATTTTTCTGTGGTACCACTTCGCGACATTTGGAGCTTTTGCTGTAAAAGAAGAATAAGGGTATCTATATCAGATATTCGCTTTTGATAAGAAATTCCGAAGATAAAGAAATTGAGAGCTCGGGTATTTTCTTCTCGGTTGTAAGATTGAGATTTGATTTTGGCATATCTATGATTGTATTATCACTTGAACAAACACTGGGAAGAACGTTTTCAGATGCTCACCTATTTTAAGTCTCGGTTGTGTAAGTTGTTACGGTCTTTTTCTCGATCATGTGATACTTTAGATCACACTTTGTCTAGTGTCATTCTCCGTAATATAATTTTTGGAGGCTACATTAACAGTTTATTGTTATTATTAAGTTTACTAAGACTAATGCGTGATTGCATAATAAATTTGCATTCTTTACCATCTTAATTTTTTGAGCCAACTGATTGGCCCGTTCCCTATAACGATCCTTTTCGCTAGCGCTTAGATTATGCCATGCATATCCAGCAATCCGATTCGTCTTTTTGAGCCCTTCAAGGCCTTCGATGATAATGTCTGTGTGTTCCTTCAAATAATCTGGAACAATACTCATCAGTAGCTGCAAATCTCATAAAAAAAAAAAGGCAATAAGACAAAATCAATTACCATCGATATTAGTTTTTTGGAAAAACTCTTTCATAAAAACATTATATCCCGACAGCGCACGTTTCGTTGTCTGAATGCGTGTCCGTGTTGTTGGTCTTCTTGGTGCTGTAGGCTTATGTTTAGCCTTTTCATTGGTAATCCAGTTCTGCAAAAATATCGATT